CAGATTTCACTCATAAAAAAAACATTTTCTATGTCAAAATCAGCTCGACTTTGCCGAATAAAACTTAAAAATAACCATTAATAGCGAGTACAAAGATTGATGACTTAATATTAAGCACTCATCAATCCCTACATCAATGATTTGTTGTTCTTCAATTCGTATGTGTGATGCATTTACTGGAACATTTTCACTTTAATCATTGTCCCTCTCACTCTCACATAGTGACGTGTGTAAAACACATCAAACAGTGTGAAGATGGGATTAAAGTAGAATCGTGCCCATTTACTTAAGGAATCCAGCAGCTATTATATATTTGATTCAACTAATGCCTAATACTAAATCATAGGCCAGTAAAAAAGGGGCATAATATACTCATGTGATGTACTGTTCTTCACACGAGAATCTTCTTCTTATGAGGTGCTACTATAACTGATGATATTGAGCTGTTTTCTTGCACGAATACATATCAGAGACTGAAACGAATAAGAAAATCTTGATTCGATTCATACCATAAAAAAGATAAATCTTTCAGTATCATGAGTAAAATGTATGGTACATTTCGCATAAAATTTTATTTAAGCTTTCATATGCCTACATGTCAAATCTTTCAATTCAGTGGAGCTACAATACATATTAGAACTTAGGTTTTATTTAAAAGAAATGTTTCTTTTGTTTATCGATCGGCAAACATAGTGATATTTGATTTTGTATAATTAACACTGTTATCAATATCCTCTGGTTGGAAAAAGTATATTAACCTGTAATTTCACTCATATTGCATCGAAATTCTCAGATCTGTGCTGCAGTTAGTAATGTCTAAACTTGATTGAATCAATTCCAGAATATTTGAATTAGAAAATCGTAATATTCGATTTTTCAGTCAAGTTTTTCAAAGTCAGTTGTCATGTCAATTAGCCAATCCGGTTATATAGCAGAGTAATAAATCATGTAATCTACAATTACGTATAACTATATTACTGATCATATTATCGAAGAAGCAAATATCAGTCATAGCAATAATAGAACTCTGTTCATGTATCGACTTGAACGATGATAAATATTGACAACTCTAGATACTGCATAAAACTAGAAAGGTCTGCTTCATCTAGAATCATCTATCTAAAAATAAATGAATAGAAACTGATTTTTAAATAAAGAGAGAACATGAACCTTCCATTGACGTGAGCTTTAGTGTTCATATTTGAGGCTTAATAAAGGAATTGTCACTGGCCCGAATCGAGTTGCCAAACAACTCGATTTGTTTTTCGTCTTGGATCCGGAACATATGGCATCCTTGCATAAGATATGTATCTATGAAATCAATATATCAAGTATTTGATTAGATTATAACCAATTTTTGTGAAACTCTTATCATGCTTTTTATACGCAGTAGAACCTTCATGAAAATTTAAATTAAACTCGTTAAATATACTTGACGATTTGGATAAATATTGTAGTAACTGCTCTGATGTTCTTTTTCAATTTCAATATATTCTTAAGTGAATTTAATTTGCAACAATGAAAGCAGAGATTTTCGAAGAAAAACTATAAACCTATTTTTATTGTGAATAAATACTATTGATGATTACAACAAAAACATTTCCAAACTTTGTGAACGATAAATTTACAATAGAAAATTCAGAATCTTCTAATGTTCCTCTCTCGTTGGTTCATTTTTGTGCTGATTTATTTAAAAATCAATACAAATAAATTGAAATCACAAGCATTGTTTGACAACGATTTAGCATATGAAGTAATCAAAAAACATAATAAGAATTTTACAAAGAAAATGCTACTCATTATGAATTATTATTATAGTTTGACTCAGTTATATATGATATTTTTCTTTTTTTACCTTCTGTTCTGCTATCGTGCATAGATGACACATACCATATACATATCTTTTCTTGCCTTTTCTTCTCCTAATATGATATAGATGTTTTTTCATCTCATCATGTCTTTTTCCAAGTATCTTTAGCTTTTTTCCTAGTTTCTGCATTTATATATGGTTGTTGTTTACAAAATAAAGATTCAGATTCAGTATTGATCTGTTAGATTAACCTCTCTCATTAACAATTGTCTAATGAAATATGATGAACATTATTGAAATCAATAGAAAACATAGAACATGTTATATTTGCAATACTGATTTTTCATGAATAATGACAACAACATTACAAGATAAGTTTGACTGTATTCTCATTTTCCTAATAAATAATTATTATTATATCACTTTTCTTTCGTGCAATATGATGAGTCATATTTATTTTTTAACGTTCTACTAGAAACATTGACGGACAGAACAGAGAAAAAAAAAACAGCAATGAGTAATGAAAATCACGAGTCCTTGTGAGAATAAATTTATCTTAAATTCGCGTCGATACTTACACAAGTCTCGCTCGAAATGATTCATGCATGTATGAATGGTGTTTGAAATCGCACACATCTGGCACGTAAGTCTAACAAATTGTTTTAAGATCGTTAGAAGATTTTAGCTTTCCATACAGTAATATCTCATATAGAATGTGTCATAGAAGTAGTTATTTCAATGTTGGAAATTTCTCTACTGACGTCATCAATGATAAAAAGCTAATGTCCGTTGTGCTTTCAAAACATACATCGAAATTCGGAATAAACAGTTAGTTCATGTGTAAAAAGCCAATGAAAAAAGTCCATCTGATTGAAATATCATACCTGAAAATTTCCGAAAACTATATATACCAATCTGAACGAACGTTATTATACATTGTCTGCAGTAACCGAATGCATTTACACCAATCGTATATTTGCTCTTAAAAATAGTCTGCAAAACACTCGTTCGGAGTGTAGGATGGGTGCTTATGAAATGAATATTTACATCCACTTTATTTTTTTATGGAAGAGCTCAACTAATGGCAGGAAGATCTCAGCATTGCCTATTGCGAGAAAAGGATCACAATTCACAAGAGCACTTTTATCATTTGAAAATATAATTTTGAATTAGTTTTTATGCATGCAATCGATTTTTCGTTTCAGATTTTTACTCAATTTGTTCGATGGGCAAGAGATCAGGTATTTTAAGATCAAATATTTAAAATATATTTGCTTTTTTTTTATTAGAAATCAAAGACTTAGCAACCAAACGGATGAAAATAGACGATCATAACAACTCGAATCCGAATTATCGAGCCATACGATATAAAATCAATTTAGATGTTGTAAATATCCTACAGAATGAAATTCGCGAGAAAAATCCCACTCTTCCATTTGATAGTATTGCTGGTCATGAACATATATCTATTACCAATAAAATCACACGGTACGACGAATATTTTACTTCCTATTTGATATTCATGATATTCTATTGAATAGTAGTATTGAAACACTGCCAAACGAAGTCTTTTTCCTTATTTTTTCGTACATCAGTCAGATTGATGTCGTAGACACTTTTTTTGGTCTCAACTTGCGTTTCAATTCGATCGTTCTGGAATGTATTCGTCATTTCAAAATTCCAAATACAACACACAGTAGTTGGTTCATGAAATATATGACTTGCATTCAACATGCCATCGGAGTCATCAGTCTCGACATCTGTTCGGTACCCCAAGTTTTTTCATTTATGTACTCATATCAAAATCTTCAATGTGTAATCCTCAGTAGTCGATATAATTTTACCATAAAATTAAATGTCAAACATCATTCTGTGTTTGATACTGTTGTCTCATGTATAAATCTTCTTAAAAACTGTGGCGCCTGGGAAATGGACGAGTTTACTTGTGATCATTTTTTTCATCTTCATAATTCAGCATTTACTACCAATGAAAATGTAAGTACACGATGAAAAACAAATTAGTATCGATATTTTGAATACAAACGAATTCTAGAAAGATTCTTTTCGGAGCAGTCGATCATATTCAGCTATTGAATATTTGTTGATACGTGATTTAAATGAGAACGCTGCGATGTATTTGTGTAAACATGCGCCTAATTTGAAGCATCTTCGAATTACACGGCCAACCTCAAAACAGAATAATTTCAATCATGCACAGATTAAGAGTTTGTTTCCTACAATGAAATCAATAACAAATCTGCATATCGAAACGTCTGATCGTCATATGAATTTCGATTCAATCAAACGACTTATTCATTGTTGTCATTCATCTCTTCAACATATTACACTCATTGCCTACGATATTTATGGATTCAATGGACAAACTTTGGAGAAATTATTTCAGATTTGTAAGAAGCTCAAGAAATTCGATTTTCTCATTGAATATTATCATCATGAGAACGTCAATATGACCGAACAATTGCATTACTTTCAAAGTAATTGGTGGCTTGATGATTGTCGACCACCAGTCCTTGTTTATCGTGATGATCATAACTATAGTATTATGGCTTCAATGCCTTGTTTATCTTCGCTGCACTCTCTAAGTTTATCTATTAATCCAGACATGTGGCCATTGAATAAAGGACATTTCGATTCAGTACAAATTTACTTTAGCCATGTGACTTCAGTTTATTTCATCAACAACAATCAACAACCTGTTCTTCTCGATTTTTTGTATTTGATTAGTCAAGTTTTTCGTTCTCGTGTCGAATATTTAGAATTCAAATACTGGGGATTCAAGTATCCACGTACACTTTATGAACTAGTCAGTAGCTCTTTTTTTTCACACTTTCACTTAAATCACTGGAATTTGTTTTTATTTTTAGCTGATTAATGCAACAGAAATGGCTCCATGTTTACCAAGTATAAGACATTTAAAAACGAGTTCGTCAGATTGGAATGGATTGAATGGAATGACATTAGTTATTTGGTTGTTGTTGGCATCCAATATTAGAGCATTGTATTTGCCAGAAATGAATAATGCTGATAAATTACAACTAGGAGAAGAACTAAGTGCATTGTTTACGATTGATCCACGTTTGAAAACGATTTCAAATCGGATTGAACGAGTAGCTATTAATTGGTCTTTTGATCAGAATGGTGATCGAACGAAGCCAGAAATTTTCGATCTCTTTGCACAAATTTTTCCTAAAGCTATCATTTGTAATGTGTAAAATTCTTGAAATAATTTCATTCCTATCTTTGTTCTAATGCATCATTCTAAACTAATAAATCACTATTTGTCTAATCTATCTTTTGTATGCTTTTTTTTCAATTAGACATTGGATACATTAATAATCTATTTAGGTGCACTGTTCCATGATATCATAAGGGTGGATGTGGGTAACACTTAACATAAGATAAGTCCAAATTCACACCCACACTCTTTCATAGTGAGAAACTTCTATCATGTGCATCTTTCTCATTCGTAGACTCTCTACTGAAGTCAGACGAAAGTATACTACAGCTGATTTCAATTTCTATACTTGCCCTATGATTAAATTAACTATTAATAAATTTTATTTACTGACAAATCATTCCGTTTACTGATATTATAATTATTTAACTTACGAATTATTTCATCTATTTTACTAACTGAATATTTTTGTTCCTAGAAAATGCTTATACTTCATATAATAAATGGCTTACTACTATTATCAATCTTTGAGATAATCGAAAATTGTTTTTGACATGTAATGTTCATCTCAATGAACAGAAATGATAATTTTCCGTAAGACTGCTGATGTTTTCTTTTGAATGGTTCTTTCCTTAAAAACTTAATTGATCTGCTAAAATTTCAAATAAAAGAAAACTTATACAGATTTGTCCAAGTCATTAATTTTTTATTGTTCAGAAATATTCTAAGTGGTTCAACTATTCAAGTGAACATGTTTATCATCTTGTTCAGAATATAATTCTACATTCGATCGTATGCAAACCAGTATTTTATATATTAAGTCAAATTTAGGAAAATATTCATTTTTTTAAAAATTCAATGATATCATTAGACATTGGTTTGAATTTCTTGTTCTTATAAATATAAGCACACAAAATTATGTTAAGATCATAATCATATTAAGAAAAAAGTATCTATGTTTATCAATCTTCACAAGTACATAAATATACAAGTTCCTTTTTATCTACAAATATTTATAGAAAATTGCCATTTGGCAATTCAATCGATGTTAATCTCATGAATTTCATAACGGAAATAGTCATCTATGTAAAAGAAAAACGTCTACAGTTTTGTAGAAGATTAAGCCCTTAACTCAGTCAGATCAACAGCTGCATTTAAACTGATTGTTGAATAATATTCTAGAATTTGAAAAATACATCAACTTCATTGATAATGATTTATCATTTTGGTTAATACTATTAAAGAAATCCAATCCCTTCCTTGTAAAAGTAGATACTACGCTATTTAGGAGATACATGTATAAAAACTTATTTCTAAAAAAAATTCAATCGAATTATGTGGTTCTAAATAGTTAGAATATTTTATGAGGCATGATATCAATTGAATACGGAATGATATTAAGATAACATAGCTATAAAACTTGTTCAATAAAACTCATTTTCAACTATTTTGCCAAAATTTAAACACTAAAAACAATCGAAATAGTGATCGTGAATAAAAAAAATTGTATACAACCAAAAACTAAGAAATTAAAAACAATTATCAGACTTCACTAAGACGACGTCTTTAGAAAACGAAAAAACCCTTGTTTTTTAACACTCGGGTGGCCCAAAAAAGTATTCTTGTTCAGACTGACCGAAATGGCAGAGAACACATTTCTCTGTGAAATGAGATGTCTTCAAGTTTTCTACTACCTTTTCTTGGGTGAGATATAACAATTTTACAGTAGCTCGTAAAGTTTTTTTTTGAAGTATTTCCTAAGGAAAAATCATTTTCAAATCTTCAATCAAGTTCTTGTATCTCTGAAAAAAACGTTATAGTAAGCTAGAAGATCTCTTATGTGATAGATAATAGCTTCTTCTATTGTGTTGTGTAGTCTGAGCTCAAATATATTTGGGCGTTCTGAGCGCTGAAAAACTATGGTTGTGGTTTTCTAAAGAACCTGTCGTTGAAGAATTGGAAGTATTTTTCGTTTTTATATTCTCAAGAGAAAAAGTGCTGACTTCAAGAGACTCCAAGTACGGAGACTTTCAGTTTTAAAAAGATTCCAAAAGACATCATGAGACTTCACGAGACTTTATGACACTTCCGTATATATTAACAACTGTTACTTCAGTTCCTGCTAGATTGAGATGTGAAACACAATGCAATTGCTGTTGATAACCATGGGGAAATTGTTTTATTCTATCCATTTTGGGAAACATTTCATCATTATCATTTTACTTTATCCTTCGGAAATATTATGCGGAAAAGTTCATATATTATAACGAGACGTTATAGATATTCGATCTATTACCGTATATCAACAACAATTGTCACGGTTTGCCAGGAAGGAGAGACGCTACTGAGTATATCGGTCATGTCTGTGATCTACCGTTCCTCATCTGTCCGTCACGTTTCTGGGCGCAGGGAGACGGTTTCACAAAAGCTAGCTTAAAGACTTGAAGATAGAAATCACCACTATTGCGCACTCGTATATTCGTATTGAGAACAATTTTTTTCTACTTGAATCACACAAATAGATTCTTCTTTGAGCGTTTAAAGTTACGAAAATAAAATTGTAGATAAACCTTATTCAACTGATTCTTGCTTCGATTATTCTTCTTTTTTATTATAGTCAAATTAATAATCGCTCTTTACTAATGTGTTGTAAAACTAAAAAACAAAAAAAAACGACAGTCTAATACGACAGCAGCAATATAGAACTAACTATAAATGTTTTTGTACGTTGCTGGGTCATGAATATTTGTCGTGGCATATTTTTATATAAGAAAACGAAAAAATTGTGGAATATATTTGCATAACTTCAATGTACGACAAAATAATATAGAATAAAATAAGAAAAGTAAACGGTCGAGCCGCGTTCTCGGGTGTGGGTATGAGATGCTGTTGTTCTCTCGCGTGACACCCACACACTGATAATGGTACTGCACCATCATCAATCTATGATATTAGATTACAAAATTAACATAAATTGTAAATAATTAAATTCGATTTACTTTATATTAGTGTAAATTACTCTTCGGATATACTACGTATATATACTTTTACTTTATTTTTCAAAGTAAAATAAAGATAAAATATCAGCTTTAACTGCAACACACTCATGTATGCAAATATCGATATATATAGTCCTATCGTAACGGAACGAAACTCACAGGAAGACAAAAAAGAGACGGAATATATAAAGAACGAACAACACGCGATAAATCGAATTAATGAAAAAAGCAAAAGCCGTACACTCCAATATCGCTTAGCATGTAAGTTTATTGTATTCCCAGCATTACTAGACTAGTGATAAAAATACCGTTGAAAGTCGATAGTAGCTTACTCATAGAATAGGAGAAGTTTCACAATTTTTCAAATAAAACACATAGTGGAACTTTTCTAGAAAAGATAGTCTATTTATTCCTCTGTATGAGTATCAAGGAAAGAGTACAGTAATTGGATGAATTTCATCGATTGAAATGTTTGCCTTTCTCAGAAAAAATCTCTTAGAAATTAGCTAGAGTAAAACATCCCTCATGAAAAAGTATTTAGACAGATGAGATCGAGAGAATTGAAGCTTATTTACGAGTCCTTATCGTATTGTGAAATTCAAGCTGTAGCGTTTAGGGATTATGTGCTATAATTATACCTTTATGTGTATAGTGTCGCAGAAGACAAGATTTTGATATTTCATTTGTGCATCTGAGTTATGTGTTGTTTGCAAATCGATTCGTGTAATCCGAAAATCTTTGATCACTACTATGTAATAGATGCGACAGAAAGAATGACATTCTCAGTATTTTCACTATGACTTCTTCGATTTACTTTCTTTCAAGCGAGACTTATTTCCAAAAGATCTATCATACAATTGTGCGATAGATAAGTATCAAAAGCTTTCTCTCAAGAAATCTATGGAGTGAAATTCAGCTAGAATCTGCAACATCTTCTAAAAAGAAACAACTTTCTTGACTATTTCAAAAATAAGCTTCAGAATATCTTTGGTAATAGTAGACACAAGGAAAAAAAGATCAACATGTAAGTGATTACTGTCAAATTAGATCTTTTTCGTCATGCAGCTTAAAGTTTAATCAAAGCAAAATTTAGATTGAAAAAAACTGCCCCGATAATGTTATACAAAGCGGCTAAAATTCACCATTTTTCCCGATTGACCTGAAAGAAATAGGATTTGATAGCATTTTGTCTCTGTGTTTGATACGGCAGTCGTTTTTCATCAAACCCAAGAAAACTCAAACTCAAAAACCATCATTTGGGATCAGTTATGCTTCTTTTTCTAAGAACTCAATAAGTTAAGTCGACAAGTTTGGCATACTCCAAATCGGTTTTTCTTTATAAACAAGAAAATCAAGTTTTATATTAGGAGAAAATTGGTGTTGTAAAGCATTGGCTGTTATATGTTCAATCTTCTCTTGTCTTTTCTTAGTACTATACTTTGCACGGGGTCCACAAAAATTGGTCGAACGAAAATTGGTCGATACGAAAATTGATCAACGAGAAAAATAGTCGAAAAATTCTTAATTAAGAAAAAAGAATCTTTCAATAAGAGCGACAGCAGTGTAAAAAATAAATTAATATCAGTATATAATCTGTCGCTGGTACTTTTAATATAGTTGTTGCAGTACTGTGTGCAAGTAAAGTGGACTCCAACCTCTTTTCAGAACAGTTGGTTTTCAGCGGAAGAAAAAATGAAAATAAAAAACGGGTGCGAATGTCGGTATGGATCTTCTTAAACCCCATTGCACACT